TTGCATTTATCCCAAATCAATTCAATCCATAAACATTCGTGGCCTCCTATTTCAATCTCATTCCTAATTCGAAAGGTCAAACCATCACTAATATAGAGGTTTTAAAGGGTCTGAATTTCGAGTGGAATTATACACACTTCAAATTCAAACCAGGAACAGTTAATGGGAAAATGAGTCAACTATAGGTCCTCCGGCAGGAATCGAACCTACGTTTTTGCGATGCCGGTATAATGCTCTTGCACTAGTATTTGTAGTGGTAGATAGGTGTCTACTTTATTTCGTACTTGCTGTAAGAATGCATTTTATGAGCTCGAACTTGGTATGTCGTTTTGCGACGACCTATCCGACTATTTAAGGCTTATCATCAATTTAACTTTAAAAAAGAGTTCTTGAAAGTGTAATTCGGAGTTTTGATATAACAAATATCATTTTAAAGTTTTTATAGAGTCGACTGCAATCACTGCGTGAATTCAATAATCGAAAACAACATTCGACGTTTAGATTTTAGTTCTGTTTTGATGTTTTGAAGGTTTAGTTATAGTTAAGTCTTACCTCAAAAACTCATTATATAATAACTCATAAGTATTTTAGGCAATGAAATCATGAGAAGTCACATGTGTTAGCTTTATACGTGGTAAAGTACCATGAATACTAATTTGGATTGCACACTATATAATTTGTCACGTTATTAGTATTCTTTATTTTATAATGTTTCATCCTAATTAGCATTTGTATACTTGGAGCAAATTTATTGCTCGACAACAATGCGGCGGTAAATATGATAAAACGATCTTCTTCGCGTTTTAAATATGATTTAAACAGTGAACGTCTATAACTGAATGTAACGTATTGGAGCAGGTAAACCGTTTATTTGACTTCACCTTTACGACTGTGTTTCCCGATCAGCTATTGGCTTTACATTTAAGGTGCTCTTATACAATATTTTTATTTTATTGTCAAAAATATAAAATATTTTCATGCCATATCGCAAGGCAAGTTGCTCTCAGTGAAAAAAGTCTTGTAAGAGGCTTCAATCACTGTAGTTACCCATACCAGACCCATACCATGGTGGAAAATGGACAATTTTTGTAAGAACGATAACAAACTAGGAATTGGTTTTACTTAGTTCTAAATATTTTGCCTCAGAGCTGAACCTCGAATGACTAAAACGTTTCCAGTATAAAGCGTTTTACCGGCAATAAATATAAAACTTCTACGATCTATATAAAATAAACAGTTGTTATTTTGCTTAGACTGAACGAAAAACAACACTTTTAGGTTCACGTCCAACCCAATTGTCTTTAAAGTCTATCATGAAAATTTTATCAAGTTAGCATTAATAATTTTTGAGTTATCTTCCCACATATAATTAGGGAAATGAGAATTTTAGTTAGTTTGCTAAGAAAAACGACGAAAAACGTTTTGCATATATTAATAAATTATAGAGAACAGTACAATAGAACAATGAACAAAAGAATAAGCCAATGGACGACTTTTATCAATATGTAAAACCATAAACTTTTCGTTTAATTCTCGCGTTCTTTATATATTTTTTAAGAAAAAATATTCAGCGCGTCTTGACAGCTGGGGCTTCAATTTATTAGGCGTTCGAAAGTCCAAGGCTATTAGTTATACAAATTAGGTTATCAATCAACGAATTTACACGTTCAACGAAAATTTCTCTAATGTTTTTATTTTATTAAATAAAATTGCGTTCCCAGTTTCCCGAATTTCGCTTTTTGCAACGCTAGTTTACGTCATTCTAGACTTGCTACAAGTCGACTCTTTAAACCCACACGCGAGCTTGAGGGACCGAGCGTATCGAGGTCGCGAAAGCGAGGGAAGGGAACGCGCGGAAGAGTCGACTTGTCAAACTTGCAATGTTTCTATTTGCGTCTTCGCGCCAAAACGGTCATATTACTATGACAATGTGTTCAATCAATTTCCTAATAAGTGCTGGAAAGCGTAAGGTGCTATCCGTGCTAACGAGGTTGTTGAGGTTGAAGACGAGTTCAGACGTGTGTTTTGAAGCTCCACAAGTCTCTCAAATAAACTGATCTTTTATCGTTTATAATTGGTATAAATCTGATCAACTAAAAGACTGGTGGTCAAATATAAATAAAATTACAGGAAGAACTGATAACAAAATACCAGTTACATCTTTCATCGATGCCGATGAGATAAATAATTTCTTCCATGATGTTTGTACCGACCCACTTTACACGGCACCAGAGTTACAAGAAATTCCAGAAGGTACCAGAGTTCCTAAGTTAACAGTAGAAATGGTCTCCAAGTTTCTTCAAAATCAAAAACGTACATCAGCAGGCCCCGACGACTTACCACATTGGTTTTGGAAAGAGTTTGGAGTCGAATTAGCACCAACCATCACACAAATATTCAATTTATCTTTGAGAAATGCTAACGTCCCGAGAGCTTGGAAAAGAGCTGATATTGTACCAATACCTAAGGAATCGACTGTAGAGAATTGCAATCGGTTAAGACCCATCTCCTTGACCGACATAATCATGAGAATATTTGAGAAATGTATATATAAAGCCGAAATTGCACATTCTATTCATGACATTATTGATTCAGACCAATTTGCTTATAAAAACGGCCACAACACTATAATGGCCCTGATTAAGTGCCAACATATGGCATTAAAATGGCTGGAAGACGGTGCCAGATATGTGAGAGTCTTTTCATTCGACTTAAAGAAAGCCTTTGACAGTGTGCCGCATGACATCCTTTGTAGCAAATTGAAAAACCTTCCTCTTAATCCTTATATTATTAACTGGATTATTAGTTTCTTGGACAATCGTCATCAAAGAGTAAAGGTTGATGGAATTAGAACAAACTACGTTAACATCAATAGAGGAGTTCCTCAAGGAACTGTGTTGGGTCCAGTACTGTTTTCGATAATGGTAAATGATATTAAAACGGTCAACACCCAAAATGAATTAGTGAAATTTGCTGACGACTTGACATTAGAAATCCCCGGGTATGATTATGGAGATACATCAATGATTGAGGTAAGCAATATTAAAGAATGGTCCGAAAGAAATAGAATGCAGCTCAATATGGAAAAAACATATGAAATGGTCATACAAAGTAAAATCCCAACACCCTTACCGACTCCCATTCCAAATATCGTACGTAAATCATGGCTGGAATTATTGGAATAACGTTGGAAAATGTACCAGATAAATGGGACTTACACTTTAATGAAATGATTAGCAAAGCAGGAGGAAGAATGTACATATTGAGAGTTTGTAAGTATTATGGTATACAAACCAAACAGTTAGACCTTTTATTCAAAAGCTTAATAATGTCGTTATTTGTTTACGGATTGAACTTTGGGGAGGCACCCATAGCAAGTACATTGATCAAATCGAAAAATTCATTGGCCGTGCATATCGAAATGGTTACATATCAGAAAAGTATGATTTTAAAGAAATTATTGTAGACAGAGACAGGAAATTATGGAAGAATATTACAAACAATAAAAATAATGCATTACAAGAATTGTTGCCGAATAAGTTAAATAGACAATTAAGACAGAGGGGACATGAGTTCGAGTTACCTCTAATAAGAACCGAACGTTATAAACGCACTTTCATAAACAGATGCCTTTTTAAATTTGTATAATAAATCCACTTATTATTGTCTTGGTCTTGTAGATTACAGCCAATTATTGTCTTAGTTTTATAGTAATTAATAGTTAAAATTATGTAAATAACAGTAAATCTTATCCTGTAATATATTTAATCTTAGAAAACGCTGTAAACTCAAACGTGTGTTTTGAGTACTATTCTTGTAAGAATAATAAAGAATTCTATCTATCTATCTATCTATCTATCTAACTCAAATGCAAGGCTTTTCCCAGCTCCTGTGGGCGCCGAAACGAAGACATCTCTATTTGAAAGATATGCCTGAACAGTGTTCTGCTGATACTCTTTCAGTTCCGAGTAACCAACAGACTTCTTTGCTTTGTCAATCGCTTCGATAATGGAAGCCAATATCAAAGTATTTTCTAATCAAGTGAAATCGGACACCAATATCGACACCTTGATTGACATTTTTATTCACGCTGAATGGTCGAAATGATAATTATAATAATTAATTCAGCGACCTGATTTTGGGTCGCCAAAAATGGCGCGAAGCAAGTTTGACAAGTCGACTCTTCCGCGCGTTGACTCTTCCCTTCCCTCGCTTTCGCGACCTCGCGACGCTCGGTCGCTCAAGCTCGCGTGTGGGTTTAAAGAGTCGACTTGTAGCAAGTCTAACGTCATTCTTACCGCGTCTTAATTCGGTTTTGCGTTTTTCGTCTATGCATGGGGAAATACTGTGTGTATTTGTGGGGTTGATGTACACCCAAGGCTCACCCTCTGAACCATTGGCTCAATGCAATACATTTTATGTAAACCTATTTAATTTATTAATTTTAACAGGTCCGCATGGGGATTATTTCCCCTTCTTATATCCAGGGGATTTGTTAAGCGTGATTATCAGTTAACACCCCTTTCCGGAGCTTATTAACCCTTCTTTACTTTCAGCGGATTGTCACCCCTTCTTTACTCCCAGGGGATTATCACTCCAGCTTAACTTATAGGGAATTATTTCTTCTTCTTTACTTCCAGGGGATTATCACCTCTTCTTTACTCTCAGGGGATTATCATCCCTTATTTCTAGATTGATTGAAAATAAGGGTAATATTTTCGACACAAATTTCTTTTGAAACTGCGCAGCGTTTAAACGTGTGTTGTTGCGCAACTAGCCGAGTAGGACTATTATTTAAATCGTACAACTATAGCGGGTTTCCAACCTGTGCTTGTAGTTGTTAGAATATTCTTGTAGTTATTAAAAAGTACTACATCGCATACGTGCTTACCGTAAACAAAAATGTTAAAAATTACATTTCTTCTAACGAGACACAGCAATTGGAAAATGACCTGAAATTTTGTGTAAAAGATTATACTCTGGTTCAATATTTTTCTTACCTCCATGCAGGTTTTGAATCGCCGAATTCTGTTCTGGTGGGGAACATTCATTAATTGTTTCCGGGCTATTACAAATTGCATTGTCTCCATGTCTACAAACACATATATCGTCTTCTTTGCATTCTTCATACATCATCTTTTCTTCGGCTTCATTCCCCATATATGCGAATATATCCTCACTAGATCCAGGTTGAATTCTGATGGGAAAAAATCAAAATTGAAAATGGCAAGAGATGCTTTTCAGCGTAACGTGACTAATTTATAGAAGCCTATATAATCTTTGGTGAGTTTGCCGTAAAACAGTGCTAGAATAGTCTCGCTGGCCCTTCCCGCACCATTGGATAATTCTCCCAGTCTTTAAAAATATAGACATATTCTACATAAAAAAACGTAAAAAATAAAAACTAAAAGGCTAAAAACACAATGTTTAATCTTGAGAGTAAAATGTGTAAATTTTTGAAGATGATTTCTTCACTATTAAAATATTTTCCGTCGAAGTGACTATATTCGTAGAGTACTCGAGTAATCGCATGCCGTATTTACATATTAGCAAGCTTAAGATGCGACGACGCGCGATGACGACGCGGCCACCTTAACCGGGAAAGACTGGGGCGAACTGCGGCCGCGTCGTAAAAACAAAAACGATTAAGATCACGTTTGATAGTCTAGGACCTGTAAAGGACTAAAAGGAGTTTGTATGCATTTCATTTAGGACAGATTATCTCAACTGTTTTAGAGTAAAATGACCATGGCGGTTAACATGGCATATGTGCCAAAATGTGAATCCGGGACGAAAGTCCTGAAAATGACCACACCCAGAAACGGCATAGTCGACATAACTCTAAATCCTGAATGATCAGAGCTAAAGTCTTTCTGAATTGTTTATATGGTTCAGAATGGTTGCTTTTAGGGGTGGTCACTGTAGGGTGAAATTAGCCTAACTAAGTTTCATATTTTACAAGAAAATGAACGTTTACTATTCCAGGTCAACTGCTAATTATGCATAAAATTACAGATTCACCTGGCAAAGTCTAATTTATTTCCCTATTTTCTAAAAATTTTTGCCATATGATGAAAAAACATACTTATTTTAATATATTTATTATAAATTTCCTAGGAAATAACAATGTTTTGTTGCGATACGACATATTTCATTTCACTTACCCCCCGCCATAACACGATTTCAGCCATATTTTGCAAATTTGATCGCCGTTTTTCGCCGTCCGTCGCAAGCACCATCCAAATACTTTACTTTAGCACGATTCTAGTGGACTAAAGAATTATTCAACCAATTTTCGATGGGTTTTGAAGTAGTGCCATGTAATATTTTTTCATTTTTGTGTCCCTTGACATTTCATCAATTATGTCGCCATTGCCATGTCTCGTCGCCTTTCTGCACGATAAATGCCAGTTCTTGATCCCCAACTGTATTTTTTTCACAGCATCGATAAATAATTGATAGTACAATAGAAGCTACCCAAAATTTAAAAGCATTTGTCCCACTTGGAAGTAAAAAACCACCCCTCGTTTATCGGGAATGAAATTCAAGTTCGAAAGATTCAAAATAATTTGAAAGTCTCGCGCAAACTCCACGACAAACGCTCGTGGGCAACATTGCAGGGGGGGGGTTATTTTCACGAATACATTTCTGGTTTATTTTTTTAGCTTTGTAAAAGCAAGAACATGAAATTTAAACGCGGAGACTTGTTAATTTTCGTATGAGAAATATTAACAGCAAAAACGGACAAATTTTACTCGGGTTGTTGACTGATTGTGGTTGTGAACAAATGTATGCTTGAATTTTCGTCCCCCCGGAATGCTGTCCACGAGGGCTCGTCGCGGAGTTTGCGCGAGACTTTCAAATTATTTTGAATCTTTCGAACTTGAATTTCATTCTCGATAAACGAGGGGTGGTTTTTTACTTCCAAGTGGGACAAATGCTTTTAAATTTTGGGTAGCTGCTATTGTACTATCAATTATTTATCGATGCTGTGAAAAAAATACAGTTGGGGATCAAGAATTGGCATTTATCGTGCAGAAAGGCGACGAGACATGGCAATGGCGACATAATTGATGAAATGTCAAGGGACACAAAAATGAAAAAATATTACATGGCACTACTTCAAAACCAATCGAAAATTGGTTGAATAATTCTTTAGTCCACTAGAATCGTGCTAAAGTAAAGTATTTGGATGGTGCTTGCGACGGACGGCGAAAAACGGCGATCAAATTTGCAAAATATGGCTGAAATCGTGTTATGGCGGGGGGTAAGTGAGGTGAAATATGTCGTATCGCAACAAAACTTTGTTATTTCCTAGGAAATTTATAATAAATATATTAAAATAAGCATGTTTTTTCATCATATGGCAAAAATTTTTAAAAAATAGGGAAAATTAGACTTTGCCAGGTGAATCTGTAATTTTATGCATAATTAGCAGTTGACCTGGAATAGTAAACATTCATTTTCTTGTAAAATATGAAACTTAGGCTAATTTCACCCTCCAGTGACCACCCCTAAAAGTTACCATTCTGAACCATATAAACAATTCAGAAAGACTGTAGCTTTGATAATTCAGGATTTAGAGCTATGTCGACTATGTCGTTTCTAGGTGTGGTCATTTTCAGGACTTTCGTCCCGGATTCACATTTTGGCACATATGCCATGTTGACCGCCATGGTCATTTTACCCTAAAACAGTTGAGATAATCTGTCCTAAATGAAATGCATACAAACTCCTTTACAGGTCCTATACTATGATACAACGCCATCAAATTGCGACGGCAAGTAGGTTCATTTGTTTTCATCGCAGTTGCCAGTTGTATTTTGTCAACTTTATTAATCGATATCTTTTAACACAATGGCTACATTTAGACAAACTCGGGACCTACTTGCTGCAGCATTTGATGATGCGTTGATCGACGAGGAAGAATTTTTGTTGTTGTGTGAGGCGAACACGTCGAAAAATCCAGACTTCCCCGTCGATAAGTATATTTTCAACTTGGATGAAAAGGACGCTGCGGAAGTCAAAGTAGAGTTTTGCTTTGACAAGGCTGATATACCGGCACTATTTGAAGCGATACGAGTTCCCGCAGCAATCACTTGCCGTGAAGGGACTGTTTGCGACGGGATGACGGCTTTTTGTATCGTCCTGAAACGGCTAGCATATCCGTGTCGTTTCAGCGATATGATGTCTACGTTTGACTTGTTCGTACCCGAGTTGTGTATGATCTTCAACACTGTCATTGAATATCTATACTCCGAGCATGGTCATCTTATCACTCGTTGGAATGAGGCACTTCTTAGTCCAGAGAAGCTTCGCGAGTACGCCGAGTCGATCGCAGCAAAAGGGGCAGCCTTGCATAATTATTTTGGTTTTGTTGACGGGACACTCCGTCCAATTTGTCGACCATCCAAGCAGCAAAGAACTGTTTACAACGGCCACAAGAGGGTACACAGCCTAAAATTCCAATCTGTTGTCCTCCCGAATGGCATGATCGCTAATTTGTACGGCCCAGTAGGTGAGTTGTCTTTTATATGTAAACAGTTCATGGAGTGATAACTAATTTCAGTCAGAGAGTCGCCTGTTATAATTTTCATATAAACTTTATAATACTATTTGTTTACTATTTGTGTGTTTCCTGTTAGTTGATTATTAGAGCCAGTATAAAGAAGTCAGGCTCTGTTTACATGTACAGTAGGTAGGGTGATTGTAGCAGTGAGTAGCGTTACCCTATCAGGTCAAACATTTTCTTGACCATAGAAGACCACTATAATATTCTGTGTGAATGGTACCTTGCAACTAGATCTGTATATTCTGTATTTGACATTTATGGTGACATTTGTGTTCTTTATATACTTTGTTTGTGACTTGTCTGTGAGAGCATAGATGGTCATGTTTTTAATTTTTATCTTTTATGTTTTTTTTTCAATCAAGTAAGTTGTACATGTACTTTTATCTACTCCTGTAGAAGGGAAAAAGCATGATGCTAGAATGCTTGCAGAACCTGGTCTCCTTGAAAATTTGGAGCAACATTCATATTCTGACGATGGCGAGCCTATGTGCATATACGGGGATCCAGCATATCCGCTTCGGGTCCACCTTCAAGCTCCTTTCAGAGTGGATCATATTACTCCAGAAATGGCTGAATATAATCAAAGTATGTCCAGAGTTCGAGTTTCTGTTGAGTGGATCTTTGGTGACATTGTTAATTCATTTAAGTTTATGGATTTAAAAAAAAAACTCAAAATAGGACTAAGCCAAGTGGGCAAAATGTACATTGTCTCTGCCCTTTTAAGAAATGCCCTTACATGTCTTTATGGCAACACAACATCACAGTTCTTTCAACTGGAGCCTCCTACATTGCAAGAATATTTCTCCCTGCAAAAGACACAGTTTCTCTGCAATACAGAGGTTGCATCGTTTAGCACCCGGCGAGTATGCTGGCGCGCGTTTTGTGATGGACCAGGAAAGTGTAAACTTCTTATCATTTCTTTTCAAATTCCAAATATACTTTGAAAGTTCAGTTTCTTTCTCGTACTTGGCGTGGTTAAAGGACTTTTTATGGTTGCTGAATCTTGATTTAAACGAATTCGCGGTCATTCCGAGGTATTGCTTGGTCTCATCTTCGCTATTTAATACTATTTCGGCTGAATAAACCACGTTCTTAGATAGGCACTCTTTAACCGCCACCGTGTTTTTACTCTTTTGCCGCCACCGAGAAAAATTCTGGGCAGGAAATTTTAAACGCACGCGCAAACAAGAAAGTCGCACGTCATCAAACTTGTAACGAACTGAAATTTAGTCGCCTGATGATTGCCTCTGTGGCATGAAACTCAGAGTAGCGATGCCATTTTTTTAAGAATTATGTAAATGAATAAATATATATATATATATATATATATATATATATATATATATATATATATATATATATATATATATATATATATTGTAAATATATATATATATATAAATATATATATATATATATATATCAACATTTGCAGATGTAACTGCATAACGACATGTTAAAGGACGAAACTCTGCATTGTCAATAACAACTTAAGCAAAATCACAGTCGTTCCCAACTTGGCCTTGTAGCTCAGACGGTAGAGCATCGTTCTAGAAATGCGAAGGTCGCGGGTTCGATTCCCACCGCGGTCAAGTAGAATTTTCTGCTTGCCCGGTTGGTCATAC